TGACCCAGTCTTTTTTTTTTCAAAAATTTTTTCGAGAAATTTATTTTTTCAAAAAAAATTTCTTGAAAAAACATTTTTATAAAAAAAAATTCTTGAAAAAAAATTTTTTATAAGAAATTTAAAAAAATAATTTAATTTTGTTTTCTGAAGGCCCTAATTTCACGAGAAATATGCAGGAAAAGATGTAATTTTTAGAAAATATCTTACAAAACGTTTTCATTAAAATTTTTTAGTTTTTGACCAAAAATGATACAAGTTCACATTTCGAAAGAAAATGTCATAGAAAAAATTTCTAAAAATGTTTTCAAAATAGCCTTATTTCACGAGAAACATGCAGGAAAAGATAACATTTAAAAAAATAATTTAAAAACATTTTTGTCAATATTTTTTAGTTTTTGACCAAAAATGAAACAAATAGTTCAGCTTTTGAGAGAAAACTTAATAGAATTTTTTGTTTTATTTCTTTCAAGGCCCTAATTTTATGAGAAACATGCAGGATGAGATAAAATTTAAAAAAATAATTTTATATGATTTTTGTCAAAAAGGTTAGTTTATAAAAAAAAATTCAAAAAATGTTAAAAAAAAAAGTAAAATCTTAATGCCCTAATTTGATGAGAAACATGCAAGAAATTATAACATCTTGAAAAATAATTTTACAATGATTCTTTGTCAAATTGTTTTAGTTTTTGACACAAGTCCACTTCCTTAAACTAAGCCACCACTGCTCCTAACAAAGATCAAGAAGCTACTGTAACAAAGACATTAAAGCCAAGGAATAGATTTGAGAAGAGACGAAAGATAATAGGCGGAGCAAGACAGGAGATTTATTACATTTTGGATGTTAACTGCCATTCTACTTCCAAAGAAAGCAACTGTTTTAATGCAACAAAATGAACATGTGTGAACATCTCTTAAACAGCACCAAGCTGACAAATTAACTTACCAAACCATCGAAAAGAAGGTATTTACATAGAACGCTTATTGGAAATTTGTAGAAAAGAAAAACAGGCCAGGAAAGAGCACAGAGTGGAAGGAGAATAGAGGACAGACAGAGGCCAAGGCAGCCACAACCTACCTCCTTCACCTTTGACAGATACATCAAACAGGCCTCCTACAACACGGGGGCAATGAGTCTTGGGGCCATCTGCTGCAGGGCAACAATTCTTGGCACTTCAACCTGGAGGTCTTCCTCCGCCCACTGCTCTGGGCAGTGCTCTGCGGCACCTTCCTTCATCCCTTCAAACACTCCCTGACTGGACTTGTCCGCTCATGGCTCAGTGGTCTGCAGGAGAGCGGGACACCAATCGTGGTGGGGACTCTCTTGGTCCCGGTGTGCTGCGTGAACTATGGGGTGGAGACAATGGGCTGGCTGCTGATGAGGAGGCTCACACTGCTGCTGGTGATAGGAACTGGGATTCCTCTGGTTTACTCCCTGTATATCATCTGTAGCACTATAGGCATGCAGTTGATCATGGGCCATGTGTGCGGGATCATTGGGACTGTGCTGGAACATTTTCACGTCCTGTGGGTGAGTGAATAAACAATGGGTCTGTGCCCCCTCTATCCATCAATCTATCCATCCATTTAAACTCTCCAATAATGTGTTATTTAAAATCAGTGCAGAAAAGTTTTTGTCAGAACTTGCGTCCACAATTTAAAGGCAGCTAATGAAATTTCCCCCCTGATTTCAGTGTTTGATCGATCAATACCTTATTATACCACAGCAGCAGCAGGGCCCTGAGCCTGACCCCACTTTGACTAGGAACAAATCGCATTAAGTGTTCCTTCTCAGACAGTCTTCTCTCTCTGATCGCATCTGGAGCCTGACACAGTCCGTCGTCTGTGAATGACAAGGTGGACAGACGATTAAATCACAGCAGTGAAAAATGGCCTGAGTGGAAATGGAACATTTGACCAATTCAGTTGTTTACAGACCAGAGCGTGCAGTTTTTACATTTACTTTATTTCAGCCTCAGTGGAATGAAAACGACAGATGTGTGAGTGCAGTAGCCTAGCCTGGTGGTGTGGTGGGATGTCGGTTGGACGACTTGTGTTTTTATCAGGCTGTCAAAATGAATGTGTATTACATTTCATAATAATGAAATAAATATTAATGAAGAAGCAATTCTGTGATTCCCTAAACCATCATGTGACAGAAATGAAGGGCAGCAAATGGGTTTGTCTTTGTCCAAGGTGTCCAGTGTGGTTTTGGGCTACATGTTTGCGGTCTGTTTCAAGTGGACTCCACAAACACAGCGCTACCTGAAGACTCTGGCACTTCCTGTCTGGACCATTCTGCTCTTCTACCTCGGTGAGTGTGATGATGAAGTAGTCGGTTATTTATCATTATCCTAATTTACTGTATAACTAATAATAAAACTTTCTTTTTTTTCTTGGCAATCTCTTCCAGTGTCACTAACGGGTTCCTGGAGAGTGCCCATATTTGTGATTGTTGTCATTCTCCGCATCATGAGCTCCAGACCGTCTGTTCCTGGCAAAGGTGAATGTTTACACACAGGAGAGTCAAAATAAAAGCTGATAATTTATTATCTTTTCCATAAATTAATAACAAGTACTGACGGGGTCTGTTTACACTCCCTCAACTTTGTACTGTGATGGTTTCTATAGGGTTTTCCATCTCATGTTGGTTTTAGCAAAAGCACTGATAAACAACAATGTAGTTGCTACTATTTAAACTCTTCGATATCTATCTGGATTTTCTATATACTGAAGCCATAAACTTGGGCTCAACTGTGTTCAATCCAATTGTTTGTTTGTTTGTTTGTTTCTTATTTTGGACAGTTTTTTGTCAGATCCGGTTTAACTCTGTTTTTTCTTCTTACAGAAGGTTGTCTTTTGGCACAGGCATTGACATTTGCTGCTAAGACAATCTCTGCTGCGTTCTTCTGTAGCAGTTACCGTGAGGTGAATACTGAGCCCAGTCAAAGTTCTAACACAGGTAAAAACCCCTCAAATAAACAAGAGTGGAGCTCAGACAAAACCTCTATCTCAGGATTAAATAGGATGATGTGGATAATCAGTAACTGTTACTCTTCACTGGTTTCTTGGATGGATGGATTTGTTTTGATCCCAAGTTAATTCTGTACAGAATCAGTCATCTGTTTTCTTGCTCTATTGTCTCCTTCTCCTCTTCTTCTCTTCTCAGGTCAATCTGGACCAGAATCATCCAACTTCAGTTCCCATCAGAACCCGTGCCCTGGTGGCCCCCGCAGAGCCAGTAATGTCTACTTCATTCTTCTGTTCTGGGCCATAGTCCTGGTCCAGGTGTGGCTCAACCTCTGGATCCTGAAATTGCTGCCCATCCCCCTGACAGGTGAAACACACACGTGAGTGTTGGGAAACTGTGAAATGTCGGATCTGCTCGTTCACTACATTCAGCTTCACGGTTCCTTGCAGTGTGGTTGGTGAAGAAGGTAGTGGTCCACTGTGCTCTGAAGAGCTTTGCTGACCACACTGTGAATCCAGGGTGGACTTTGCTGGAGAACTTCGGATGTGAGCAGAAGGAGGCTCTGCTGCCTCAACAAATCAAAGACCTTGTTCAGATCCTGCTTTGTATCGACTCCAAGGTAAACCCTGTGTGGACACATAGACCTCTGGTTATTTCTCATATTAATTGTTCGTTATTCTTTCATCAGTAACATTCACTCAACTGTATTTATGCCAATCTTTATTCACCTTTTATTTTTCTGTTAAATTATATATAAGTTATATATAAGTTAAACTAATTTTTTTTCCCTCATGTCCTGTGCAGATAATCGTGGTTCTGGAGCAAGCTCTGGATAAAATCATCAGCATCTTCATCATCATCATTCTTGTCACAGGGACCATGGTCATGGTGCTACAGCTGACTACCATGGTACTGTTGAAGTTGGGAACAATTCACCTCATTGTTGAGGAGCTGTGACTCAAACAGGCTTCTTTTTCATTTTTAGTTCCATCATGAAAGTGTTCAGATCATCGAGGTCTCCAGAAACCTCATCAATGAGACAGTGTCTAAATATCCAGAATGGGCAAAGTATGACAACTCAACCGGTTTCCATGTTTATGAACTCTTACCTGCTGAATAACTCCGGTCTGTTCTGACTTTATTATCCAGTTGGCTCCCAGAGGCCCGTGAGTTTCAGGAGGCTCTGAATTCAGCTGTGACCAATGTTTACCAGCATGGGAGAGAATGGATCACACAGAAGGTGACTGTCAATACAACAGGCGTCTGTCTGACGCCTAATATGATGGAAACCTCGCACACGTGCCCAGTAGAGGGCAGCCAAGTCTCACGTTTCGTTTTTCTTACCTGCAGCTTGGTAAGCTCTTGGGCCAAAAAGGAAACAACTTAGTCATGATAGAGGAACATGTTCTGGGGATATGGGACCGTCTGTACCACTCCTGGTTTGTGAAGGTAGCAGAAGTTAACACTGTAACAATGTAGCATTTCAAGCTAATCTATTCGCTAGTGCATTTCTTTTCTTGTATTTTGGAAATGATATACAGTATTGCAAAAGAAAATAAATGCCATGTAATAGGATACTTCCATATATACATACACACACACACATATGTGTGTGTGTATGTATACTGTATGTGTACAAACATACATACATACATGGAAGCATACACCCACATTAACATAGATACATGCATGTACAGTGTATGTGCACATATGCACATACATATATACATACATGCGTACATGTTTACGTACATATTAACGTACATATTAACATACATACATGCATGCAAAATAAAAAAATAAAACAACCTACCATTTATGTATTTTGAACTTCTTTAGGACATGGCCAAGTCTGGACATTACTCTGGTCATAGGAGGCCTCATGGGCATAAAAACTGGTTGACAGACATCATGCACTGGAAGGATGTGGTCTCATTTCTGCAGGAGAACATAGAGACACTGCTGTCTGTGAGTACAATGAGGCAAACACTGAGTCTATAAGTTGCTCAGGTTTTAAATTGTGCCTCAGAAAAGTCAAATTTAAAAATGATGTATATCTACAGTCTTTGTGAAGGACCAGCTTTTACCTCTTTACATCTGGACATTTATCTTGTCTTCTTTAGATCCTGGAATCTCTCTGGGTTGTGATGAGTAGGAATGTTGGCCTGCTGATGTCAACAACAACGACCCTGCTCACCATCCTGTTCCACAGCGGCACAGCTCTGCTCAACTTTGCCCTGAGTTTGGTAGGAATTCTTGACAACCAGCAGAAACAACTGACGACTTGTTATTAAATGAATTTCATTTTAAATGTGTAAAAATATCAGCGCCAAAAACATTCTGGAGTCCAATATTATCAAAACACAGAACAGCCTCTGGAATGCCACCTACTGGAGACTACGTAACTACTGTTTTTATTTTTATTTTAACTTACTTTAAAAAAGACATCAAATATAAAGAATAAACCTACTTGCTTTTAACAGTAAGTAAAAAAAAAACTATGACATTTCCTCTCCTGCAGATGGCGCCCTAGCTCACAACCACATAGCCAAGAGCTCTGCAAACAACAGATCTCAGTGTAGCCATGTTAGTAATCTGATCATTAACCGTGGAGCAGACAAAGATGTGGCTGTAAATAAATACTGGATTAAGTTATTGCGTTGTTAAGTCTTATACTGTGTAATAAAGGTGCACTTACTTTTCTGAACATCCTTGCCTCATTTTAAGCAATTACAGCTCACTAAATTAAATAATAAATATTGGTTTTAGACTGATTTGGCAACAGAAAAATCAGAGCTTTTTTTACAGCATAAAAATTAAAATGTCCATACCACATGACCAGATAGTACAGGAAACAAGAGTAAATAAGCAAAACTTTTTCAACCAATGAGAGTGAGGACACTTTAAGATCTAATGTAACTGGTCACTCAGAACTTCAGTGTTGGATCTGTGATTGTTCTACTGACTACAGCTACAGTTTTTTTTATTACCTGTGTTCTGGTTGATGCAGGTGATTTTCCTCACCACTCTCTTCTACCTGCTGAGCGCCAATGACGATTATTACAAACCAGTCAAATGGGTGATCAGTCTGACCCCTCTGTCCCAGCCTGGACCCTCCTGTAACATCGTAGGCCAGTCTGTGGAGGAGGCCATACGGTAATCACCAGCACAAAATCATTACATCTGCCATGAAAAAACAACAACATCTGTAAACGTACCTGACAGTGATCAAGTCTGACCAGTGGTGTGTGTTTACATCCTAGAGGAGTCTTTGAAGCCTCTCTGAAGATGGCCGCCTTCTACGGCCTTTACACTTGGCTCACTCACACCATCTTTGGCATCAACATCGTCTATATTCCTTCTGGTCAGTCAGCATGTGAACAGTCAAACCTCTACACCTGCCAATCTAGGAGTATTCTCAAAAATGTTCTTTATTTTCCTCTCCTGGTCCAAAGCTTTAGCAGCTACACTGGGTGCCGTGCCGTTCCTGGGAACGTACTGGGCTGCGGTACCAGCCGTGTGTGACCTGTGGTTGGCGCAAGGCGAAGGTGTCAAGGCTGTGCTGCTGCTGATCTGTCACCTGCTGCCCACATATTTTGTGGACACAGCCATTTACTCTGACATCCCTGGGTAAGTTTTGTATGGTATATCACATTTTTCTTGTATAGCGCCTCATTTGCCCCCATTTTTTAAAATGTAAATATCAAACAACAATCCCTGCCAGTCCTTAAATTCTGTCCACCTTTATTGTTGATCATAATGGTTTGTCTTTGGTTTTATTTTTTTAATAAAATGTGTGAATTTTGTTAACAATTTCTCACTCCTTATGCTGCTCTTCACTGTGAGGTTAGATAAGAAATGACTCCCACCTTATCAGACTCACTATACACTCTGTCTTCATATCGTTTTGTGTCCAGTGGTGGACACCCATATCTAACTAGTCTGGCAGTGGCTGGAGGAGTGTACTATCTGGGTCTGGAGGGCGCCATCATTGGGCCAATCCTGCTCTGTATCCTACTGGTGGCAGTGGACCACTACAGTGCCATGTTATTGAGCCCCAGCTATGCAGTTGCAACACCAGTGCAGCCAACTTTGCCTGTCCACACCCTCAGGTAAACAAAAAAAGTAAAGACAGATCAAAAGAAAATTATAAAAAAAAAAAATACTGGGACAATTCAACTTTCAATTTGATTAAAAGAAACAGCAGCGTCTAACCTAAGTGTTAAAAAAAAGCAAGGCTCTCAAAGGACAAAAAACATCTAGTTTATCAGAATGTAGCTGTGGATGAAAAATGATTAATCATGATTAACTGAGATGTATTAACATTTCATAGTATAATATTTTTCTAACAGAAAGACACATAACGTGGGTAGATGTCAGTGTTTCAGTGTATCATCTGTTTTATTAGTGACTGAACTACATGGATGAGTTATTAATTGTAGTTAAATTGATGGTGAAATGACTGGACATTCTGGATGGTGAGAATGACTAAAATGTTATCCTATTCACAAGCACTAATTTGCGGCCCTAAAACCCTAACCTAAAAGTTAAAATAAGTTGTTACTGTATGAAGATTGTTCTTTTTAAATAAATGCTATTTGTTTGCGGAAAAAGCCTCTGAAATCTCCTAACCCTTCACCTCACTCATGTCCCTGTCTCCCACAGGACGTTTACAGACTGCACACCATCTGTCCTGAAGACCAACACTGAGTGAGAACCAGAGGCTGCGTCCCTGATGAGAGCTGCCTTTTGGCTGAGTCCTCAGTGGAAGTGCTCCCCGTAATGAAGCTCTTTCTAAAGCCGCAGCAGTCGACCCCGACCAATCAGTGATGACGGTGAAACGCCTGATCACCCACGACGACGCCTGCTCCTCAGAACTGTTTCTGTCAGTTTGGCCTCAGTCTTCTCTCCCTGCTCCTAACACAGTGAACCCTGATCCCAAACAAGGACCAATGATGACTTTGGCATTTAAAAATAGTGACTATGACAGCATAGATTACATCATGAATTAGCCATTTACTCTGACATCCCTGGGTAAGTTTTGTATGGTATATCACATTTTTCTTGTATAGCGCCTCATTTGCCCCCATTTTTTAAAATGTAAATATCAAACAACAATCCCTGCCAGTCCTTAAATTCTGTCCACCTTTATTGTTGATCATAATGGTTTGTCTTTGGTTTTATTTTTTTAATAAAATGTGTGAATTTTGTTAACAATTTCTCACTCCTTATGCTGCTCTTCACTGTGAGGTTAGATAAGAAATGACTCCCACCTTATCAGACTCACTATACACTCTGTCTTCATATCGTTTTGTGTCCAGTGGTGGACACCCATATCTAACTAGTCTGGCAGTGGCTGGAGGAGTGTACTATCTGGGTCTGGAGGGCGCCATCATTGGGCCAATCCTGCTCTGTATCCTACTGGTGGCAGTGGACCACTACAGTGCCATGTTATTGAGCCCCAGCTATGCAGTTGCAACACCAGTGCAGCCAACTTTGCCTGTCCACACCCTCAGGTAAACAAAAAAAGTAAAGACAGATCAAAAGAAAATTATAAAAAAAAAAAATACTGGGACAATTCAACTTTCAATTTGATTAAAAGAAACAGCAGCGTCTAACCTAAGTGTTAAAAAAAAGCAAGGCTCTCAAAGGACAAAAAACATCTAGTTTATCAGAATGTAGCTGTGGATGAAAAATGATTAATCATGATTAACTGAGATGTATTAACATTTCATAGTATAATATTTTTCTAACAGAAAGACACATAACGTGGGTAGATGTCAGTGTTTCAGTGTATCATCTGTTTTATTAGTGACTGAACTACATGGATGAGTTATTAATTGTAGTTAAATTGATGGTGAAATGACTGGACATTCTGGATGGTGAGAATGACTAAAATGTTATCCTATTCACAAGCACTAATTTGCAGCCCTAAAACCCTAACCTAAAAGTTAAAATAAGTTGTTACTGTATGAAGATTGTTCTTTTTAAATAAATGCTATTTGTTTGCGGAAAAAGCCTCTGAAATCTCCTAACCCTTCACCTCACTCATGTCCCTGTCTCCCACAGGACGTTTACAGACTGCACACCATCTGTCCTGAAGACCAACACTGAGTGAGAACCAGAGGCTGTGTCCCTGATGAGAGCTGCCTTTTGGCTGAGTCCTCAGTGGAAGTGCTCCCTGTGATGAAGCTCTTCCTGAAGCCGCAGGAGTCGGCCCCGACCAATCAGTGATGACGGTGAAACGCCTGATCACCCACGACGACGCCTGCTCCTCAGAACTGTTTCTGTCAGTTTGGCCTCAGTCTTCTCTCCCTGCTCCTAACACAGTGAACCCTGATCCCAAACAAGGACCAATGATGACTTTGGCATTTAAAAATAGTGACTATGACAGCATAGATTACATCATGAATTTGAATAATGTGCCTGAGTTGATTCATTATGTTAACAAATAGTTTATCATGTTATTTTTGGAATTTTTGGAGAAAAATATTTCTTTTTTCTTGATGCTAACTCCACTCATCATGAATTTAACTGAAATGCAATTCAGGTTAATGCAAATTAGATTAAAATAGATATAATAACAAAAGAAAATATATACAAATCTAAAAAATAAAATTCTAGAGACCTTAAAAAAAGGGAAAGATCATGATCAGGCTTTTTCCTTAAACAGAGATGAATAAGAAATTCCCCACAAACTAATGGGAGTCACATTGCCTCTTTGTGTCTCTCTGAACATGCTTTAAAATTCTGTCTTTTCCTGTGGTCTCGCTCCGGGCCACGGTCTGACTCGGCTTTGATCGGTTCCCTCAAAGCAAAGACCCGGCATGATTCTTCTGAAGTCTGCAGCACGTGACACAGAGTGAAGCCTTCCTGAACATACAAAGCTGTAAATCTCCTTAATGGCAGAATCAAACAGGATCACAGTAAGGTGTCTCCTCAAGGAAGATGTTCCTGGATCCTCAGAGCAGATTCTTTGAAGAGCAGATGAAAGCCGAGGATCCACGGTGGACCTGGTTCCGAGATTTAATATGTGAAAGGTTGATGTGAAATTCAAAAAAACGTCTTCCATGCCTCTTCAACCACTGAACACACCACAGGTCGACACGTCTTTAGGTTTTTACATTTACTTAAGTGACTGCGAGATGGAATGTAAACATGCCAAGATCCTGATGGATGAATAATTCAACAGATTCAGCCAAGACTTGGAATAATCCACTCTCCACATGTGCTCACTCCGCCACCTCCACACAGCTCCAGGTGAATGATTAAAGAGGCAGAGAACAGACACATTATCACAGAGTTTCTGAACAGACTCAGCTGCTCTGTTGTCATCTGCTCAGTCTGATCAAACTTGAGAAATCTCTTGCTTTAGACTCTGATGACCTCGGGGGACATTGATCACGTTATGACACAGATTGAGATCTAACATTTGTAATATATTTCTGTTTTAGGAAATTTAGTAAACTCTGTTTATATAATCCTAATTAGTCTTTGGTGGCAAGAAAACTATGTTTTATTGAACGTTGTTATTATTATATCTAAAAATAAATTATGGGATTAAAGACATAGACACACTAGTATTAAAATGTGGACAAATGACATTTTGTACCAAAATCGCTGTTACTTTTGATTCCTAGAGTAAAACAGTTCTACATTATAATGGTTTCTGTTTCTCCCTCAAGTAAAAATGTTTTTTTACAGTTTGGAAAGACAGAAATCACAAGGGTCCTTGTTCTGTAAACTTTTTACCTTTATTCTCTACATTTGGATCAGCTCAGTGTGGAAGCCTGGACATGTCAGTCAAATGTAACCCCCCAGCACCCACCCACCCTCTGAAATTAAAATAACAAAAACAAATATAGAACAACTGATACACTCCAACCCCTTGATTTCACAAACACCAACTGTTCACATCTTTGTCGGCGTGAAATGCTTGGACATGAAAAAAAAAAAAACAAAGTCATTGACGTCACTGAAACGATGACGCGTCCTATTTGTAAACCCTTCCTCCACTGGAGGAAGCTATGTTGGTTAAGAACTTGATGAAAAACGCGTCCTGCTCTGACTCGCAGCTGCAGGACTGATACAAAAGAGTGTGTAAAGAAATGACATATGGATGTAACCTTGAGCCTGTCAGGCTTCGCTGAGATATAAATAGTGGAATACTGCAGGTGTAAAGTGAGATATGTGGATATGGATTAGCATGTGTCGTCTGCTGCCGCTGCCGCCGCCACTGCTGTGCTCTTTGTAATCCACACTTCAACTCCATCAGCTCTTTACATCGTGCTCTCCCTGATTAGTTTTCCTAAATGCAACATCTCTAATATTCTAAACGCTTTGTTTGCAAATATGTCCCCAGGAAAGTACAGAGGCTGAGCTCTGTGAGTAGAAATAAAACAAGCTTTTTTTGTTGTTTTTTTCCTCTTTTTCACATTGCTGCTCTTACTGCAGATGTCCATCAGTGAGGATTCACACAGTGGCTTGTTCTGGTAAGAACTGATTAAACCTGAAGACTGTTACAGCCACACTGACGACAACGCAGCCATCCATAAGGTCCAATACAGAGGAGAAGCCAATGGTGGAGGAGAAAAGATGGACATTGCCTCCCTTTTATTTTTAAATGTATTCTGGAACATTTATATTTGGTCAAATTATACCTCTTTTCCTCTGTCCAGTTCACCCTCTGTGTACGGCAACTGTCATTCTAGTTCTACTGGATACTTTATGTGTTTTATGTCTCAGATATCATCTTTATAGTTTCTTACAGTCGCACATGTTGTCACAGTGGTCAAAAATACAACCACGACTACATTAGAACAGATCATCAGGACATGTCAGGTGACGCTTCTGAGGAAGAATGCTATTCGCCGTCCATGTGTCAAGGTAAAAAAAAAAAAAATCCTACTTGAGTATCTGGCTGTAAGAAACTATGAGGATCACATGACCCTGCTGTTCTGTGTAGCTCTCTGCTCTGGTACACAATATAATAGACACATATATAAAAAGGAAGTGGCAGGAGTTTTTTAGGATACAGATGCCCAGCTTCAGAATGTGGGTTTCACACCAGCAAAGGTAGAGTATGCAGGAATGTTAAGTCAGGGGAGCTGTAGACCTGGTTTAATTCACCTGGTGAAATGTAAACAAAGATCAAGAAGGAACCTTGAACTTTAAGTTCTCACTGGAATTAGGAAATCCACGTTTTAGTCAGTAGTTATGCACAGCAGAACTATCTGAGTCGATGCTATGCTTCTCTGAATACTGTAGTGACAGGTACCTACAATGCTCTACAATGTCATAGCAGGACTTTGGTTCCTTGGCATATTGACCACACCTTTGTTTTTTTGTTGCAGTTTTACACTCCTACTTTGAGGCACTGTGATAAAACATGAATGTTATTTTGACAGTTACCTCTTGAGCTGCAACACTGCCCCCTAACTTGCATTTTTTCCATAATTCCAAACAGAAACGTCACAACCAATTTGAAAATTGGAAGTAAACATTCAAAGATGCCAACAGAGGGCACCAGTATGCACTCCAATAACATATATGGTTGCTTCAGTTTGCTTGAATTTAATTGGTTATTTAGTTATTTAAGTCCTGGATACTCTACCTTTGTCTTTGCCCCTACTTATTTCCTACCCTGCACTGGAGTGTGTTTTTTAGAGGTCAATGAGAAAATGATATGGTAAAATTGATCAAGGTGTCAGACTAGTTAAACCTTATTCCTATATGTATGCACTGTCTGTGTATGTGTGCGTGAGACTGCAGTGCCTCATGGGAGTTCCCTACAGTTCAACACAGCATTAGGCAGTGGATATCAGTCATATATGCAGAGTCCCGTGTATGTGTGTGTGAGTGTGTGTGTATACGGTAGCTCTATGTTAAACATTTTTAAAGACAACTGAGACGGACAGACGGACGAGGGTTACTGCTCTGTGGCACTGGCACAGGACTGTAGAAACAGACAAAGCCATGTAAAAACTGGACATAGAAATCTCAAAATATCACAAACAATTTTTTCCTCTATCACTAAATCTCTGCTAAGGGCAGATATTTTTTTTCATTTCCTCAGCAAGACGGTTTCATTCGGTAGTAGGATAAAATGCCAAGAAGTAACACCAGAGGGCGACATACACTAACCACAAGACTGTAGGAGGGGCTGGGACACACGTACACACGCCAGTCACACACAGACACACGCTCAAGTCCTCAGGAACTCTTCATAGAATTCGATTGAAATATAAAATTAAATTAAAAAAAACTGCCCTCCTCACAACATACATTCACCTAAGGGTAAACACTCGTACAAAGACACACACGAAGGTAAGTGCACACACTCTCTCTCTGGAGACAGTCAGTAAACCTTATGTGATGAGTTGAGTGGTGGACCACCTTATCCATGGAAGCCATGAGTGCAGAACCTCAACTCCAGCAGGCAGTCTCAAAATTATGTCCAACACTGAATCACTCTGCGCGTTTAAAATCTCTCCTTTAAAAAAAAAGACAAAAGAACAAGTCTCTCCCTCTTTCCTCTTTTGGAGGAGGGTCAAACACACTCCTCCCTCTGATCTGTGGCAGAGGTAGTACCATCTAATCCGTCCTCCATTCCAGAGTCTTCTCATGAGAAGTCTTTTCTCTCCTGGTGCCCAGTTTTTATAAACATGTCCGTTATCCTCATTACTCACTCTGGGCTGCGGTGTGTGAAGGTGTGTGTGTGTGTGTGTGTGTGTTTGTGGAATACCATCAGAAGACCTCTGGTAGTGTGACGTTGCGCAGCAGCCACTGTTGAGAGCGTGAGTGTGTGCAGTCTCTGACGCTGGGCACCTGGCTGTCCTCCTCGCTGGCCTTGTCCAGACACTGGTTACTGTTGACGTGGACCAGAGTCAGCTTCTGTGGGGCAGAGAAACACACAGCGTGCACATGTGAAGCAGATGAGACTTTTACAATGTTAAATGGCTATTTCCACAACTCTTCAAGATTTTTTTTTTTTGTGCAGGCTTGAGTGTAAAGACACATCTCGGTTTTGGCTCACAGTGTGAGGCATGCTGTGGTTGGGCTGGGAAATGTGTCAAATCTGATATATAACCCCAGAGATGAAGACCATAAATATCCCGCTGACTGATATGACAGTTGGTCGGTGAAAATATGTGTAGTCATACAGTGAGTGCATGTGACTTTTATGTGCTGCTAAAGTTGTCACCATAACTGATATGTTTTATTTTGCAAGAATCATATAAAAAGGAAATTAAAGTTGTGAAATGTGTTTACATTTTCCCATAGAGAGCGAATCATGTCTGTCATACCAATTTTTAACTGACTAGGAACTAATCCTATTTTCTGACTTTTTTAAAACAATTTTCATTAGAATTTCACAAATAGTAGTAGTAGTAGTAGTAATATTAAACATGTTTCTTTAGGTTTGTAAAGGTCAAATTTAATGGACATTGTGTCCAGTTACTGTAATAAGTCAAACATCAAACACGGAAACAAACATAATTGCTGTTTTTATTGTGTCTGGGACTCACCACTGGATCGTACTCCCACAGCTGGTTGCCCTTGAGGTGATGACACTTCAGCATCATGACGGGTCCGTTTAACTTGGACACATCTAGACACAAGTCGTCAGTCCTGATTTCCTTATTGGCCGTGTAAGAGAAAACCTGTCACATGATCAGAATCAAGTTTTAAAATCACTGGTCCAAACACTTTAATATCACCACTCAGATGTGAGTGATCACAGGAATGATCATTAACTGATTCAATTTGTGGTTCTCAAAATTAAGGATGCAGACGGTAACTGAGAGAAAGAAAATACATGTATTGTGAGTATGCAGGTGTTGTACTGTCTCTGTTACCTGGTTGCCTCCCATTCCATGGCAGTTGAAAATGCCAACCTTCTCATTCTCCTTGCGGGCCATGTTGTCCAGGCACTGGTTGGTCTCCACATTGCGAATCTGAAATAAAACACAAACAACCCACATTGTCATCAGAACACAGAGCAATTTGACCTTCACTGTTAAACTTTTTGAGACCTTTTAATAAACAAAGATTTTAAACAATAGTCAATGTAGCAATGATGCTTCTGTAGAAGGTGAACTTTGTGGGTCAGTGTGAATGTGTGAAAGGTCGTACCTCTCCTAAAGAGTAATAGTGCCGTGGGATCTGGGAGTCCGGGTAGACGTTCTCCAGGTACCAACTGAAGGGTTTACACTGAAGTTTTTGTCTCAGGCCTGTGCGAGATGTGATGTCACCGTAGTCCACCTTGGTCACACCTAAAGACAGACACGCAGGTCTCATTTATTAACCTTCATATTCATGACAACATCTCTCTGTGATAAAGATGATGTTAAGCAGACTGTTTCCTCTGAGGGCACTCTATATCTATGATGAACTAAAAAAAAAACACAGCAAATTAACACATTTCATTGTATGATAATTTGTTCATTATCATAGTTAATTCTGACAGATAATTCTGGTTTAGTGTTTAGTGTCTTTTAACTAAATCTAAGTTCTCAAAGGAGTTAATAAAACTTAAAAATTTAAATTAAGATTAAGTCAAATGCAGAGCACAGAGTACTATTTTCAACTTTATAAATGCATTTAGCTGTTAACTGGGCTTTTATGGCAGTGAAACAGGAAAATGTACTGAACTTTATTAAAATTATAACATTAATTTAAGTTTATGTATCACTTTTATTATTATTTTATCATCTTTTTGCTGCAGTACTTACTGTAAGTATATGAGGATAATTACAAGTGGGCCCAATAAACATTGGTCATGACACTGGATGTCAACATCTGCAGGCTCGAACTCATCACTTTGGATGTGTCACTGACCTATTTTACATGTAAACAGTTCTGTAATTTTCCTAACAGAACTCTTCAACCTTGACCATGACCTGGATGACTGAGAAGCTTCATAAATATTCTGTGCTAACAGTTTCATTTGTCTTTTGCCTATGCATACATGAGGATGTGCAGGTTATCAACTGCTTTGTGGCGTGAAATTACGTGCTGCCCTTTGCCCCACAACTGCCGGGATGCAACTGCTACATCACACAGTTACTCTGTTAATGGATGGATCCCACCTGTCGCAGAGATTTACCTCCACACATGAACGACATGCATACCAGCGGTTCCACGCAAACACACATGCTCTCAGACAGATGGTCCCACTCACCAGGAGAGATGATGTAGAAGAAGTTTTTGAACTCATCCATCCATACTTCTGCCAGGCGTCGGTTGTTTTTGTTTATGATCTGTCCCGTTCCCCCAGGAAATGTGTACGGCGTTGCTTTTCTGAACACGTGACCCACATGAGAGCATGTGACAATTTCTAAAGTTCCACCACACTGCCAGATCTAAGAAAATAAACACACACACAGAGAATGATGTTTAAACTGGTATTTTATATGTGGATTCAAACCTTTTATTATAACCTCATTGCGACCCACATGAAAATATCTTCACAAAAAACTCCACAATCTCCCAATTTAATGTTGAACGGTTTTGCTTATATTGAAAATGAACCCATAAATCTTGGTTTAAAATGTTGTAAAAATATCCAGCAAATTCTTTTAGCAAACCCAAAATACTTCCTGTGACCCACATTTGGATCCAGGCCAAAGCTTTTGGGAAAGACATGCAAGGAGTCCACCAGGGGTCACACTTTAGTTTGTCCTCAAGGCCAAATTATGTCAAGCATCTCTAACCAAGGCCAAAGAAGACAGGAATTATTACTCACTCTCTTAATCCACAAAAACATAGAATTAAAAATCCTAGCATTTAAGCATGACTGTTGTTGAAACTCTTGTTGAAACTGTTGTTTCTCGCTTCAGCAAATCTGCAGAATAGTAGTCAAAAGAAAAAGGTAAATATTTGTAACTGGAATACACATTTGGAATATAGAGTAAATTCCAAAAACAAATCTTCTCCATTTCTATTGGCCAAATGAATCAGCAGGATTGCTTCCATTTGTCTGCATTTTTCTGTTTTAACCCTTTGTACTGTAACCATTTGCATATAAACACACAAATAAAACTGAGTTGTAAAATTGTATTTAGCTTTAAAGTCATTTTTTGTAATATTTCACTCTTCGTGATTCTCCATAATCAACTTTGAAAGTGTTTTAGCAAAGTTAAAGTGTCTGAAAACCAGTCACAGAGCCCCAGCTGAGTGCTGCGGCTCACCAGTGTGTAAAGAGTGAGGAGCAGTCTGACTGCTGACTCAATACCAGCGGAGTTCTAAAGCTCTCCTGACATGAATGTCAGCACAAACCCGTGGGCCAGGAGTTTCATGGGCAGGGTTTTCATGGCCCGGCAGCTGCAGGCAGGGTCTACGTCACCGTGGTCAACGCCAACTGCTGGGTGGTGTAAAACACGCTGGCTCTTGACTCTGAAGCAGTGGAAATCTTTTCTGGATTGACGACTCATGCTTCACTATTTGGCAGTCTGATGAATGAGTCTGAGTTTGGCCTATGCCAGAACATTACCTGCCTGACGGCACTGTGCCAAATGTACATTTGGAGGAAAAAACACATGGAAGTTTTGGGGGTTCACTTTTTTTAGGGAATGACTCTATGCCAGAGTTTCAACAAAGTTCAGTTAAGGCCTGGTTAGATTTGTGTGGTGTGTAGGAACTTGACTGAGTCACACCTTTATTTTCATCCTAGATAAAAACTGTAACAAACAGTACCTGATCTTAACAATGCCTTTTCTTGAATTTTGTAGAACTGAAGCTGTAATAGATGTAAAAGAAAACCAAATACATGTTCAGGCCAAAGGATTAAAAACAATATTTATTAAAACCATGTGTACTTTCAGTGGCCTACTGTACTAAAGGTTCTTACCAATAAAAATGAAACTATGACTTTTCTTTCTTTCTCTGTAAACAACAGGCTGCAGGCATGTGTGTATGTCAAACTCACACTTCAACTCTTACTAGTCCCCTATATATATATATATATATATATGTATATATGTGTATATATATATGTATATATGTGTGTATA